TTGTCAGTTAAAAACAGAGTAGGGGAGTTAGTAGATGGGGATATGGAGGTATTAGGTAGATGGCGAGAATATTTTGAGGAACTTTTAAATGTTGAGGAAGAAAGGGAGGCGGTAATTTCATGCACTGGCCAGGGAGGTATACCATCTTTTAGGAGTGAAGAGGAGCAGAATTTAAGTGTGGTGGAGGTACGTGAGGCATTACGTAGAATGAAAGGGGGTAAAGCAGCTGGAACTGATGGGATCATGACAGAAATGTTAAAAGCAGGGGGAGATATAGTATTGGAGTGGTTGGTACTTTTGTTTAATAAATGTATGAAAGAGGGGAAGGTACCTAGGGATTGGCGGAGAGCATGTATAGTCCCTTTATATAAAGAGAAAGGGGACAAAAGAGATTGTAAAAATTATAGAGGAATAAGTTTACTGAGTATACCAGGAAAAGTATACGGTAGGGTTATAATTGAAAAAATTAGAGGTAAGACAGAATGTAGAATTGCGGATGAGCAAGGAGGCTTCAGAGTGGGTAGGGGATGTGTAGATCAAGTGTTTACATTGAAGCATATATGTGAACAGTATTTAGATAAAGGTAGGGAAGTTTTTATTGCATTTATGGATTTAGAAAAGGCATATGATAGAGTGGATAGAGGAGCAATGTGGCAGATGTTGCAAGTATATGGAATAGGTGGTAAGTTACTAAATGCTGTAAAGAGCTTTTATGAGGATAGTGAGGCTCAGGTTAGGGTATGTAGAAGTGAGGGAGAATACTTCCCGGTAAAAGTAGGTCTTAGACAGGGATGTGTAATGTCACCATGGTTGTTTAATATATTTATAGATGGGGTTGTAAAAGAAGTAAATGCTAGGGTGTTCGGAAGAGGGGTGGGATTAAATTACGGGGAATCAAATTCAGAATGGGAATTGACACAGTTACTTTTTGCTGATGATACTGTGCTTATGGGAGATTCTAAAGAAAAACTGCAAAGGTTAGTGGATGAGTTTGAGAATGTGTGTAAAGGTAGAAAGTTGAAAGTGAACATAGAAAAGAGTAAGGTGATGAGGGTATCAAATGATTTAGATAAAGAAAAATTGGATATCAAATTGGGGAGGAGGAGTATGGAAGAAGTAAATGTTTTCAGATACTTGGGAGTTGAAGTGTCAGCAGATGGATTTATGAAGGATGAGGTTAATCACAGAATTGATGAGGGAAAAAAGGTGAGTGGTACGTTGAGGTATATATGGAGTCAAAAAACATTATCTATGGAGGCAAAGAAGGGAATGTATGAAAGTATAGTAGTACCAACACTCTTATATGGATGTGAAGCTTGGGTGGTAAATGCAGCAGCGAGGAGACGGTTGGAGGCAGTGGAGATGTCCTGTCTAAGGGCAATGTGTGGTGTAAATATTATGCAGAAAATTCGGAGTGTGGAAATTAGGAGAAGGTGTGGAGTTAATAAAAGCATTAGTCAGAGGGCAGAAGAGGGGTTGTTGAGGTGGTTTGGTCATTTAGAGAGAATGGATCAAAGTAGAATGACATGGAAAGCATATAAATCTATAGGGGAAGGAAAGAGGGGTAGGGGTCGTCCTCGAAAGGGTTGGAAAGAGGGGTAAAGGAGGTTTTGTGGGCGAGGGGCTTGGACTTCCAGCAAGCGTGCATAAGCGTGTTAGATAGGAGTGAATGGAGACGAATGATACTTGGACCTGACGATCTGTTGGAGTGTGAGCAGGGTAATATTTAGTGAAGGGATTCAGGGAAACCGGTTATTTTCATATAGTCGGACTTGAGTCCTGGAAATGGGAAGTACAATGCCTGCACTTTAAAGGAGGGGTTTGGGATATTGGCAGTTTGGAGGGATATGTTGTGTATCTTTATACGTATATGCTTCTAAGCTGTTGTATTCTGAGCACCTCTGCAAAAGCAGTGATAATGTGCGAGTGTGGTGAAAGTGTTGAATGATGATGAAAGTATTTTCTTTTTGGGGATTTTCTTTCTTTTTTTGGGTCACCCTGCCTCGGTGGGAGACGACCGACTTGTTGGGGGGAAAAAAAAAATAATAACAACAACAACACATACACCTACCATCCGACTTATGACCTGCTCGACATACGACGACTCGACTTACAACCGTGTTTTTTATGCCAAATTTCTGGGAAATAAACAAGTGTTTGTGTTGTACACAGTGTTTATCCTAAACCTTACTGTATAAAATACAGTACTAACAGCATAAAAAGTAAAGTAAAACATGAAATACCAAAATAAAACAATAAAATAAAGTCATTACAAAAATGTTATGTTGATATTCAGTAGTAAAGTTTGACTTGCGTCCATTTCGACTTACGACAGGTTTCTCGGAACCGAACTCGGTCGTAAGTCGGATGGTAGGTGTATATATATATTTTCTTTAACGAGTCGGCCGTCTCCCACCGAGGCAGGGCGACCCAAAACGAAAGAAAACCCCAAAAAACAAAATACTTTCATCATCATTCAACACCTTAACCTCACTCACACAATCACTGTTTTTGCAGAGGTGCTCAGACTACAACAGTTTAGAAGTATATATGTATAAAGATACACAACATATCCCTCCAAACTGCCAATATCCCAAACCTCTCCTTTAAAATGCAGGCATTGTACTTCCCATTTCCAGTACTCAAGTCCGGCTATGTAAAAATAACCGGTTTCCCTGAATCCCTTCAACTAAGTATTACCCTGCTCACACTCCAACAGATTGTCAGGTCCCAAATAACATTCATCTCTATTCACTCCTATCGAACACGGTCACGCACGCCTGCCGCAAGTCCAAGACCGTCGCCCACAAAACCTCCCTTACCGCTTCCTTCCAACCTTTTCGAGGACCCCTACCCAGCCTTCCTTCCCCTCCAGATTTATATGCTCTCCATGTCATTCTACTTTGATCCATTCTCTCTAAATGACCAAAGCACCTCAACAACCCCTCTTCAGCCCTGACTAATACTTTTTATTAACTCCACACCTTCTCCTAATTTCCACACTCTGAATTTTTGGAATAATATTTACACCACACATTGCCCTTAGACAGGACATCTCCACTGCCTCCAACTGCCTCCTCACTGGTGCATTTACAACCCAAGCTTCATACCCATATAAGAGTGTTGGTACTACTATACTTTCATACACTCCCTTCTTTGCCTCCATAGATAACGTTTTTTTGTCTCCACATATACCTCAACGCACCACTCGCCTTTTTTCCTCGTCAATTCCATGATTAACCTCATCCTTCATAAATCCATCTGCCGACGCGTCAACTCCCAAATATCTGAAAACATTCACTTCCATACTCCTCCTACCCAATTTGATATCCAATTTTTCTTTAGCTAAATCATTTGATGCCCTCATCACCTTACTCTTTTCTATGTTCACTTTCAACTTTCTACCTTCACACACATATACATAAATCTGTATTGGAGGGAAATCAGGAAGGGGCAAAGGAGGTTTCATGTGCAAGGGGCTTGGACATCTAGAAGGCATGTGTGACCATGTTAAGATAGGGAGGCAAATGGTATTTGGGACAAACTGTCGAGTGTGAGCAAGGTAACATTTGTGAAGGGATTCAAGGGAAACAGTTAGCTGGGCTCGAGTCCTGGAAGTGGAAGTACAGTGCCTGCACTCTGAAGGCGGGGTTGGGGATATTTTGCAGCTTGGAAGGGCATCTGAACTGTAGCACCAGCATGCCTATGACAAAACAGTGTGAATAATGGTGAAAGGACGTCATTTTCAGGTCACCCTACCTTGGTGGGAGATGGCCGGTGTGTTAAAAAAAAAATATACAGAATAAGCAATAATATAAAAGCTACTTCCATGAAGTGATATGACAAGCAAAGATTCTTATGTTTACTATGAAAAATATGAGCAAGTATGCTTATAATTTTTTTACATACTATTAATTATGCATGTTCCTAGGCAGTAGGTTGGTAGACAGCAACCACCCCGGGAGGTACTACCGTCCTGCCAAGCGAGTGTGAAACGGAAGCTCCTAATTGTTTTACATGATGGTAGGACTGCTGGTGTCTTTCTGTCTCATAAGCATGCAAGATTTCAGGTAAGTCTTGCTACTTCTACTTACATTTAGGTCACACTACACATACATGTACAAGAATATATATACACACCCTTCTGGGTTTTCGTCTATTTTTCTTACTAGTTGTTCTTGTTCTTTTTTATTTCCACTTATCTTCATGGGGAAGTTGAATAGAATTCTTTCTCCCTAAGCCATTCGTGTCGTAAGAGGCAACTAAAATGCCAGAAGCAGAGGGGCTTGTAACCCCTTCTCCTGTATATACATGTATTACTAAATGTAAAAGGAGAAACTTTCGTTTTTCCCTTTGGGCCACCCCGCCTCGGTGGGATACGGCCAGTGCATTGAAGGAAAGAAGAATTATGCATGTTCATATTTATAGGTTATCTTGAATTTTAAATTACCATACACCTCTACAGAATAGTAGTTCCATTTTTGAAAAACATCTCTAATAAACATTCTTTAGCCTAAGGTAACAGAAGTGCCCTATGGACTAAAAACTACTGTAGTACTATATCTGATTTTGAGTTACTTTGGTTTCAAATTTTGTCATTCCAGAACTTCTTAAGTATGTTTTGCCTAGCTTTTGTTGGTGTAAGACCTACCTGCCCAATGAAAATTAAGTAAACACATTTGAATCATTGAAATCAATCTTACGTAAGAAGTCCACCATACACCAGTTTTCAATATACCATGAAAAGTAAAGTTTAATACCAAAACTGCTAAACCTGTATATAATAAAAAATAATCAATCTATATCATTATATGTAGTGAAATTTTTTCTAACGAGAAGGGATTATACTTTGACAAATGTAACTGTATAATGCTTTCAATTACTGTAGTAAAAGATTCAAAGTAAATGTAAAGATACAATACCTACCTAGCATGTTTTCCTTCTGTAAATAGATGGAGAAATATTAATAGAAAAGTGCTTGAACCAGTTTATATACTGACTTGTATTTTCCAGCAGCTGTGTTCCATGCCGATACAATCATCAGGTTGATGGGTACATCAACTGGTATAAAGTCTAAGGTTATTCCTGGTTTGATATAAAGGGAGCGTAGAACTCCCTTGCCCATCCCTACTAACAAACCAGTAAAGGCAAAGAGGTTGTCCACCCATCCTGGGACAGGTTCACGCCAAGAACCACACACTGTATGAACAAGTAAAAGTTAGTCAGATTATGCATTTACATATAATTAATATACTGCAAACTTATCAAATAATTATCATTAATAACAATTTGAGATTTTATTCTGGGCATATGGTCTTTCAAGAAAAACACAAGTCGTCACACACCAAGCCATAAATGCAACATTGACAAAGAAACACTAGTGTTCCTCTCCTAAGTTTTTGGTGAAGTGACAGTACAAAGTATTACAGTGAAATATGAAAGTATAATTATAAAGAAAATGACCAAACACCCTGCTTCAGTGGGAGACAGCAGGCATGTTAAAAAAAAAAAAAGTTACCAAGCTCATATCACAAAATATCCAGGAAACTAATGAACATTAAAATACTTGAAGCATTGGTAAAATTATTGGATTATAAAAATAATATACATCAAAAAAATTTAATTAGAAAATTAGTCTACAAGCTCAAAAGCTAGAAATATAAACTGGATGATGCTTTAGTTTACCGCAGACCATTATTAGTTCTTGACATAACGAAACATCAACCAATTTAATTTCCAATATGATATAAGAAGCCACAATTTAAAGGCTCCCCGGCTTCAAACTCGTGTTTCAGACTTCTACCAGCAGATAAAACATTTTTATAAGTTTGAGAAAACTGGTCTAACTCCTACAGAAACCACCAGAAACTTACGCAATGTCCAATTTCAAATTACTGTATAACAATAAAATGACTACATTAACTCTACCTATCAACTTTGGGGTACCTCAGGTTGGTGTCCTGGTCCCTTTACTATTCCTTATCTACATCAATGACCTTAATGCCTCCCAGGGACTAACCAATTCCAACTGCTAACAACTTTTGTCATCTCAAATGCAGATCCATTTGTCAACAGTCAACAACGAGCTTAAGATGCTTACCTGAATGACAACAGATGGACCTCTCAATTATGACAAAACTTTCTATAATGTTTGGAAACAAAGCTAAAGATATTCAACTGAACTTAAAGATTAATACATGCAATGAAAAACAAAAATCATCTTAGCAAATCAAAATTCCACACACATCCAGCAAATTTCTTAAGAAAATTTGCTGGATGCATGTTGAATTTTGTATATGCCTCAAGCATTACTACCCACTCTGTACTACTATCTAATCTATCCTTACCTCAACTATAATATATGTGCATCAACATCTATAACAGCTAATCACCCATAGAATAGATTCTTATTATTTACTGCTTAGTCTGACAAGTTCTGGAAATGAGAAGTACAATGCCTTCACTTTAAAGGAAAGGTGGGGATATTTGTAGTTTGGAGGGGCATCTAACCTGTAGTACACGCATGCCTCTGGCAAGATAGTGATAGAGTGAATGATTGTAAAAGTGTTTCTTCTTTTTTTCTTGGGGGTCACCCTACCTCGGTGTGAGACAGCCAGCATGTTAGATAGGAGTGAATGGAGATAAATGGTTTTTGGGACCTGATGAGCTGTTGGAGTGTGAGCAGGGTAATATTTAGTGAAGAGGTTCAGGAAAACCGGTTATTTTTATATAGCCGGACTTGAGTACTGGAAATGGTAAGTACAATGCCTGCACTTTAAAGGAGGGGCTTGGGATATTGGCAATTTGGAGGGATATGTTATATATCTTCATATATGCTTCTAAACTGTTGTTTCTGGGCACCTCTGCAAAAACAGTGATTATGTATGAGTGAGGTGAAAGTGTTGAATGATGAAAGTATTTTCTTTTTGGGGATTTTCTTTCTTTTTGGGTCACCCTGCCTCGGTGGGAGATGGCCGATTTGTTGGAGGGAAAAAAAAAAAAAAAAACATTTACAAGAGTAGGAGGCGGCTACAAGAAAACATTGACTTCTGGAGGTTAATCAGAGCACAAGCAAATTTCTGAAATGAGATGAATTATATTAGAAAACCTCATTATTATAACTCATTATTTTAACTTACCAATAGATGGCCTAATAATGGAAATGGGTAGTCTTCCACCATCATTAACCAGGAGATGCTCAGCCAAGGCTTTGGTATAGGTGTAGGTGTTCGGACGTGGAGCAAGTAAGTGAGGAGTCAGAGATTCTAACAACTTGTCATCGAGCCACTCTGTCAGCTGAATAAGACGGGCAGGATCTATGGGAGCAGGATACAGCTCCTCGTATACTTCAGGTAAGTGACAGTTGCTGTATGCAGTTGAAACATGTACCAGAGACTGTAAAAAGAAAATGAAATATGGTTACCTAACAACGGTCATTAAAAATCCTTTTCATTAAACTAATTACCTTTAGATACTGCGCAACAAATTGATTTTCACCAATTGATCATGTCAAAGCTACAATTACTGCTTCCAGTGCTGTATTCACCAGCAATCAAATAAGCAACTTCTTGTGCAAGCAAAGCATTTTGGGAATGGATAACAAAGTGTTGCAAGTGTGTTGTATTCATCAACCTGTCAGTATTGTATATCAACAATGTGAAGGGCATTACAAATGAAATGACTGAATTGCAGCATTCGACAACAATGTACATATTATTTACCATACAATTAATATGGCGCACTGGTTAATTCTGTGTAAGTTTAATATTGGCCTAAAATATCTGGGTCTTTAATAATTCTTGTAGTACCAATTGTACTCATTTCTGTAATCAGCATAGAAGATCCTTGTGCAGAACTAGAACATAAAAAAAAGTACATACAGGGGACACATGTCGGGTATGGGAAGCACCAGATCATCTGATCAGTGTCTTATCAGAGCAGCAACAAGTTGACCAGCATACCTAAAATACTCTAGTGTCAAAAACAGCCATCAATGCTGATTTAAGGTACAGTGGAACCTCTGGTCACAACCATAATTCATTCCAAAACTTTGGTCGTGACCCGAACCTAATTTCCCCATTGGATTGTATGTAAATATGATTAATCCATTCCAAACCCCTGCTAATGGTAGCGAGTTCCAGCACCATTCATTTCTATATATATACATTTTAAAATTGAGCCCATCATTCCACAAGCATGTACATTTTACTTTAATTACAGTAGAGAATAAAGTCACCCTACTGTGATGGGAACAATTCACCCAAAACCTATACTTAGGAGAAGAACATAGGGTGATGTTTCGGTCCATCTTGGACCACTGCTAAATCACAGGTGGTGGTAATGGTAAAAACAAGTGGTAGAAGTAATGATAGAGATAGTAGGGAAAGAATTATCAATAGTGGAAGAAATGATAGTGTAAAAAAAAAAAAAAAAAAAAAAAAAAAAAAAAAAAAAAAAAAAAAAAAAACACAGAACAAAGGAGTACCAAAGGAGAGTACTGGCCCACAGGCTTGCAAAAACTAGATGGGACACCCCCATTCTCTTCTCCCCCAAACAGGAAAAACCCAGGCATAGAACCCACCAAAGCAGAAGATAAAAAAAGGCAAAGAAAAAGAAAATGCAAAAGACTAACGAAATGGCAGGAGAGGAGTCAGAAAAACTCATGTCAAGATGTGTATAAGAGCAGCTTCAACATGGGGTTTTTGAAGACTAGAAGATGGGTACTTAGTTTTAGCACAGGATGCTGTAATCACTGAGATGACAGAGAAGAGCATTGTTAGTGTCACCAGTGTGAACACATCTTTTGCATTCTTTACATCTGTCAGAAAGGGAGTGGCTAGTTTCATCAAAGTATTGGAAAAAGAAAGGAAGAGCAGAAAATTTAATACACACCAGAAGCATCAGTAATAGGTGGAGAAGTATGAACAAGATCAGTATAAAGGGTATTAGTATGACTAAGTTTGATAGCAAGAGGGTGCTACTAAGATTCTGAAGATTGGAAATACAGGGAAGGAAAAGACTAGGAGATTTCACAGAAGTGTGTCTGAGAGAATAAAGTCCATTTAGCACAGCTATAGAGAGAATTTGTAAAAGAATAGCCAAGTCAAAGAGTAAATATTCAGAGTTGAGAAATTGAAGGTCACAGATGTGGAGGGCACACAGAAAAAGAAACAAAAACACTTCTTGATTGAAAGAAGGTATGAAAAGTAGCAATATGCATTCCAATGTTCACAGGATTGCATTAGACTGAAAAATAAAAGCCAGTCACAGAGCAAGAACATCAAGAAAAGGAAGCAGTTCAAGTTCCATTCAGCTTTGAACTTTGTAGAAGAAGCAAGTGTATTAAGGGCATCTAGAAAAGACAGACTAGTCATGTGGCCATACAGGAAAAACAGCTACATAGTAAAGCCAAAGAGGACATACCCCAACAGTAGGACTGTTGAAAAATATTCCAAACAAAGGTTAGGCGATAGTGATGAAGGTGACGATTCTTAGAGAGAAAAAAAAAAATTATCAAAGACAGGGCCTCTCCTACATTTCCAGTCTTTAAAACCTTAACACCCTCCATCCTCTATCAAACTTCTTTATACTAATACCCTTCACACTAATCTTGTCCATAGTTCTATCACTGATGCTTCCAGTGTCTACTCAATTTCTTGGTCTTCCTGTTATCTCCAATACTTGGGTGAAACTGGCTGCTCGATAGACTTAAAGAGCACAAATGTGAGATTGATTCACCCCCATTTCTATGAAAAGTATGGCAGTGTACACAGAAGATTGAAACTGTATATAGGTCTTACCTGAAGGTTGGTCATCTTTTGTGCCAGGCTCACAACACGTTTGGTCCCCAGCATATTCATGTTGACTGCAACACGCATTGGTTCCTGGTGGAGAATTTAAGTCACTTGTATAATATATATAGTAGACAATAATTATGAGGATTTGTAATGTTCATAAAGCAAGGTACTGACCTTGGTTTATTAACATATAAACATATTATACTTGTCATACAAATCAGGGTTGCCACACAACATGGGGAACTGTACCAAGTGCAATACATTCACCAACTCCCCCATGCTGATGTTACGAAGTACACTGACCTTTAATTTAATGGTTCCTGGTAAACTGAATGCATTTTGCTCATTCTAAAATTAGAGTATAAAGCCTGATTCTAATTTCTATTAGTCATCGAATGTAAGTGTATTAATATTTTCTGTACTACCCATTATATTCACTACAAGTATAAAATTTGACTCGTCTGAAACACCTTTCATCCCCCCCCCCCAAAAAAAAAATAAAATATCAACAATCTGCATACCAATGCAAGCACCACAAAGTAGTATACTGTAATCTACAAATTTCAGTTACTTTAGAAGTATTGTATGATACAATGTACAGTAAACTTCTAATTAACAAACCCTCATTTAACAGATATCGAAAATCATTGGGAAAAAATAGCTGGACAAAGGTTGGAATAGTTACACAAAATGAAAAAAAAAAAAAAAAAAAAAAGATTCCTAATTTTGTCCATAGTGATAGTGTCCAGTTCTCTTCTAAATCATCAAACCAAGTCTGATGATTCTGACATCTGTATGGGCCAGAGCATCCACATCTAGGACCTATCCATTTTCAATGTTACCTAGCTGACATCAATAACATACAGTAGTTATATAGAAAGCCGCTTGTTATGCAGAGCATTTTGGGCAATTAGGTCTGTTTTGTCCCAGGATGCGACCCACACCAGTCGACTAACTCCCAGGTTCCCATTTTACTGATGGGGAACAGACAACCGGTGTAAGGAAACATACCCAAAGTTTCTACCCTCGCCAGGAATCGAACGCGGACCCTCCCTGTGTGAAGCGAGAGCTTTAGCCACCACGCACTTTTATTATTGGTATTCACTTTTGCATACAGTCTCCAATATTTCCCTTGGTTTTATAATGTTTTGGGAGACTTTCTATTATTATTATTATTATTAAAAAGAAGCGCTATTCCAAGGGAGACTTTCTATGAAGTGAAATTAACAATAACCTCTAAAGAAAGTAGCGGTGTCAAGAGAAATAATGCAGTTCTCAGTATTAAGCAGAAACTACAGTAGAGTCTGGCGTCTCAGTGGTACGAGGATGTGAGGAAGATGGTGTTAAACAGTTTGATATTCGTAGATGCATGGATGAATTTACAATGAATAAACTGTTGTTATTTCTACAAAGTATAATTTACAAGTCTTACAGAAAATGGTGACAATTTGCATACTTTACAGAAAGACCTTAGATGTGCAGAGCATTTCAGGCAGTCTTAAAATAATCTTACAATCAACTGATTTACAATGCTGTAAGACCCTAGTGGGTTTAGTGCTTCTTTTTTATTCTAATAATCAATTATCTCTCGACCATGAAAAAATAAGCCGAGTTACTATAAATTGCATACTATACTGGAGGGTTACCATACATTTAATTCTTGGTATATTAATAAGCAAATCTTAGCCATAAAGTTTACAATTACATTAATGAATGTTCCTAATTTTGGCGCAACAAATTTTAAGGATAAATTTCATAAAATGTCTAAAATTAATGTGGTAATTCCTTTAGCAAGCACTCACTCAAATTATGTCAATGAAATTACAGAAAGCAAAATCTGAAATGCAAGTATGCATTGGTAATACAATTTTTACGATACTGTTGCACTAAATATCTTAAAATATGTACGTATTGTGTTTTCATGTTAAACTTAATATTGGTAACTATTTGATTTTTGAAGGTCTATCATGTTCTAAAACTAAGTGTGCAATTACTGCACTCATTGTCCATGAAGGCAACCTGAGAAACGTGTGAAGAGGAAAATTCACAGAGTGAGAAAGAATGAGTCTGCACTCTTGACAATAACAATTGGAGTTGGTTAGTTTGACATCTTTATTTTGCACCCATAAACCCATCCTCTGGGCAATACTTCATCAGTTTAAATAGCTGTGTTAATGTTAGGTGAATAACAAGGGCAACTACGACATTTATTATAACTAAGTTTCGCTTCAAGGGAGCGAAACTTAGTTGTAATGTCATGCTAATCGCTTGCTTGTTTATTTACTTTGTGTCAGTAATTTTCCAACACTTGTACACTAAATAACAAAAAAGGCACAATACTGTGACTGGAACGATACACAAATAACCCGCACATAAAAGAGAAGCTTTTATGTGCGGGTTATTTGTGTACTTGTACACTAGATAGATAAAACATCGAAAATACTTTAATCCTAAATATGTGCATATTGGGATTAAAGTAATCCGAGTGTATTTATACAGAGATGCACATTACCCCTCCACGTGTACACGAACAGTTGCTCGATGTTGGCAGTGTTGGAAAACAATGCCAACATCGGAAGATAGTGCAAAGTAAGAACTTACTGTGAAATTGATAGTGGCTGCCGCATGGAACACAATATGTACTTCATTGGCTAACCTAGCCTCATCTTCATCACTGAGGCCTAGTCCCTCCATGGTAATGTCCCCTTTCACTGCGAATACCTTCTGTATGACTTCTGGTTGTGATTCCTTTATCTTGTCAAAGAGCTGAAACCAAACAAAAGTTTGATATATAATGACTAGTATAAAACTAACGATGATACTTACACTAAATCTGTACAAGCTTAAGAATATCAATTGGGCCACTATCGATGTTGTACTGGAAAAATAAATATAAACGGTAATTTACATTTTTGATAGTGCTACCAACTAAGGATTTAATTTATTAAAAGCTATCATTAAAAAGCCAAGTAATTCTTTAGTTTTAAAATACAAGTCATAAGAAAAGTTTTATAATTCTTATATACAATTTTTTTTTTAATATTCTTACATTTGCCAGGGCCAAGCTTATCATTGCAAGGCCAAGGTTATACTGCTAAGTCAAGGCTATCATTGCTAAGCCAAGGTTATCATTACAAAGCCAAGGTTATTACTGCAAAGCCAAGGTTATTACTGCAAGGTTAAGGTTACAACTGTGTATATTGTGTAAAGTCTCTCAAACAAGCTTCTTGTATTATTGACCAAAATTCATTCTGATACAAATATATTAAAAACAGCACAGGAATGAGAACGTCAGGCCCTGTGACCTGGCTAGCAAAACTTGCTTCACACACTGAGGGTTCGGGTTCGATTCCCGGCATAGGTGGAAACATTCGAAGCTTTTCCTTACACCTGTAGTTCTGTTCACCTAGTAAGTAGGTACCTGGATGTTGGTCGACTGCCATGGATTGCATCCTTGGAGATAAGATTGAGGACCCCAATGGTAATAAGACAGTCCCTCGATGACGCACTGGCTTTCTTGGGTTATCCTGGGTGGCTAACCCTCCAGGGTTAAAACTCCGAACAAAATCTTATTTTACCAAAATTTAATAATGCCAAAAATACGAAGACGTAGAAAAATTCTTGCACAGAAACATGAAGTAGACAATGACTAAGTCAGGAAGGTGAAATTCTTGCACCTATGCTAGGTGTCCCATAGCTCGATGGCTAGCGCACTCAGCTCATACACTGAGGTTGGGGGTCGATCCCCGGCATGGCTGCAAATATTAGGACATATTTCCTTAAAATACCTACTGTCCAATGTTCATGCATCAGTAAAATGGGTACCTGGGTGTTAACCGACTGGTGTGGGTCGCATCCTGGGACAAAATTAACCTAATTTTCCCGAAATGCTCTGCAAAACAAAGGGCTTTCTATATAATGTCACTTGTGTCTGCTAGGCATGTATACATTGTATAGTACAAATAAAGATTATTATTAGTACCAACACAGCACTCTTCCAAATCCATAACAACAGGACCTGCATCAACACCTCTCTCTCTCAACCGAGCACCCCCAGGATAACAAAAAAGGCACAATACCGTGACTGGAACGATACACAAATAACCCGCACATAAAAGAGAAGCTTACGACGACGTTTCGGTCCGACTTGGACCAATTCTGGTTAGTGTGACTTTGTAAATGGTCCAAGTCGGACCGAAACGTCGTCGTAAGCTTCTCTCTTTTATGTGCGGGTGATTTGTGTACCCCCAGGATGTATGGAATGCACAATAAAGATGTGGAATTTTACACAATTTCCTAAATGTAGAACATATAAATGAACAATTAATAATAATAATATCTTTATTTACTACAAGTACATGGTATACAGGCCAAGCTGACATCAAAGACATACTACTATATAGAAAGCTGCTCGTTTTGCTGAGCATTTCGGGCAAATTAGATCAGTTTTGACCCAGGATGCGACCCACACCAGTCGACTAACACCCAGGTACCCATTTTGAGCTGATGGGTGAACATGGACAAAAGGTGTCTTATGGAAACACGTCCCTAATGTTTTTCAGCCGTACCGGTGGAGATTCGAACCCCGGACCTCAGTGTGTGAGCTGAGTGCGCTAGCGATCGAGCTACGTGACATATAATAAATTGCATATTAAAATGTGATACTATTTTGACTCATCAAAAAATTTTAAGTGAAGGGGGTGTGGAAGAGCCGGAGAGTGACGCCATATTGAATTGAATGTGTGAACATTGATCCTTTAATTGTGCAATGTAATCGGGTGTTCTCGAAGGTTAATTGGGGTACAGCTGCCTCAATTCGTAATTTAGAAATAGTTGATACGTGCCTGCTTAAGAATTGGGATAAACAGTGTGGAAAACCCTAACAAGTCGGCAACCAGGGCAGAAAAATAGAGGGCTTCAATGAATCCTTCTCAATAACACACCTTAGCTAAGTGACGCTTACCCATAATGTACAGTAGTTTTTGCGTTGGCCAACGTAAATCCTATCTGGTAGGGAAGTGTTAGGGTGTTTTCCATCAGCACTATTCCAATAATTAATTGGTAAATGTTAATACCAATTATAATTTGTGTAGCCAGCAAGCCTAATCCTATAGAGTCCACACAACTTTAATTACTAGAGTAGCTGGTTTTAATATTATAATTATTAATTTAATGTCAAGTGGGATTTGAAGGAGTTACAGTTCAGCGACCTACTGTGACTAAGGCCCACTTACCTCACCCAAATTACTTGCAGCCTGCAGGTAATAATTCAGGTGATGCCCTGTAAGCCTCCTGTAGGTGATTTGCTCACATAATTTTCACAAAAGATATTAAACTATCAACCACACTTTCTGCGGCAGCACTCAACCATAACTGTTGCGGTAACAACCCTGTCAACCACTACTACTGTTGCACTAACAACCCTGTTAACCACAACTACTGTTGCACTAACAACCCTAAAGCACAGTAGACAAATAACCCGCACATAGGAGAGAGGAGCTTACGACGACGTTTCGGTCCGACTTGGACCATTTACAAAGTGTAATTAATGTTCCAGTCGCGGAATTGTGCCCTTTTTATTCTTCTATCAAGCACAGCTAGTTGCAATAACAACCCCACTACCAGCATTTCTATAACTAATATTATAGCCATGCTATAAAATCACTATTATAACACCCACCTTATGGTATGCAGAAGGCGTATAATGCCGACAAATGGCAAGACACTAAACGCAGGAATTAAGATTCCATTCATGAGGGAGGCACTAAACCCGCAGGGGGTCATACCACCTTCAAATTCAAAGTTTATTCTCTATAAGGATTACAATGCTGAGTTTACAGAAATTTGGTTATTGTTTGGTTTACATGTAGTAAAATTGTGATTACAGAGTGTACCACTAGAACGCTTAGCATGGCTAGGCATTTCGGGCATACTTAGTTTTATTCTTAATTGTAAAATATTACAAATTATGAGGTAAGTTGTTATTATGGCTAAGTGACTAAATACTAGTTTGTGAGTTTAGCAATGTGAATGCTTTTGTTTTGGCACAGTATATAGTTTCAGTATTGGAGTATCACAGGATTCATTATTTTAAGACTGAGATTAATATTTCTGTTTATGGTCAAATGAGTGAGCGAGTGTAAGTGTGAACCACCAGGTGGTATTCGTGTAGTTAGTTGACGGGGTGTATCAGGGAGATAAGATGTTTTCTAATGGTAGTTTTGAAGGTGATGAATGTGTCTGCAGTTCTAGAGTTCTCAGGTAGGGTATTCCAGATTTTAGGGCCTTTGACTGATGTTCGATCCAAGGAAGGGGAGCACATTTCTAACTCCTTAGATTAAGAGCACATTTCCAACTCCTTAGATCAAGGAACCTTCTTAAGGGGTAAATTAGCACGTTTCACCCACGAAGTGGGCTTCAACTATACAATTAAAGCCTCCATTCCCCTATGGATGAAATCTCTATTTTTTTTCCCCTGCATTTAGTCTTTTTTTTTCCATTTACCAGCCCTTACTGTTTGCCCCATTTTAGCCCTGACTAATGCAAGTGTTATAAACCTGGACGTGGGGGCTAGAGATTGTGAAATAGTCACAGGATAAATATAAAATTGGTCGGATTTTTAACCTGGTTGTATCATGTACCCTTTAGATTATTATTAATATTATTATTAATACTAGGATGACCCATGAAAGTCGATGCATCATCGGGGACTGTCTTATTTTCATTGAGGTCCTTCAATCTTGTTCCCCAAGATGCGACCCACACCAGTCGACAAACACTCGGTACCTATTTACTGGTAGGTGAACAGTGGCTGCAGGTCTAAGAAAACTATACCCAAAGTTTCCACCCGTGTCAGGGATAGTACTACGGACACTCAAGTGTGAGGTGAGAGCGTTGCCAACAGCCACGGGTGGCGAGATATTTTGATGCAGAATACGAATGAACATACATTTGCAATTAAACAACCATTTAACAAGGCGAGCTCAGTGGAGAGGCCCTAGGCTCGCAACTGAAAAGACACGAGTTTGATTTCCGGCTGGGCAAGATGTATAGCCAAGTCAATCTTTACACCCTCCCCCACCCCACCATCCCCTTCCTTCCTCACTTAGCACTAAATAGGTACTTGTGTGTTAGTAGTGTTGTGGGTCGCATCCTAAGAAAGAGGAAGAAATGGCAGTAAATTACACTAAGCAGCATTCTTACTATCATAGGTTTCGATTTTTTTTAATATCCCGTAATTTTGCTCACTGATGCCTTGATACAATAGCCATGCGGACGGAGCGAGACGAATGTCAAACTACACAAGATCATAAAATACTATCTCAGCAGTAGCTTCCTACAGAGGAATTAAACATAAGAGGGGTTTAAATCTCCACTACCAGATGTAGGCCAAACGAAATGTAAACTTCGCCAGACTATTGTCACACCCTGCGTCATTATGGATATGTCAAAGTATTTTATCCACAGTGGTATATTATAAACCATTCTGGAAAAATACCCTGACTTTGCTCACTGTAAATAAAGCTAATATTTGCATTAATAACTCGTTACAATTGTGATCGGGTGTAGACATATGAATAGTTCATTACCACTGTTTACCTGGAGAGAGTTCCGGGATTCAACGCCCCCGCGGCCCGGTCTGTGACCAGGCCTCATGGTGGATCAGGGCCTGATCAACCAGGCTGTTACTGCTGGCTGCACGCAATCCAACGTACGAACCACAGCCCGGCTGGTCAGGTACCGACTTTAGGTGCTCGTCCAGTGCCTGCTTGAAGACAGTCAGGGGTCTATTGGTAACCCCCCTTATATATGCTGGGAGGCAGTTGAACAGTCTTGGGCCCCTTACACTTATTGTATTGTCTCTTAACGTGCTAGTGACACCCCTGCTTTTCATTGAGGGGATGTTGCATCGTCTGCAGAGTCTTTTGCTTTCGTAGGGAGTGATTTTCGTGTGCAAGTTTGGTACTAGTCCCTCTAGGATTTTCCAAGTGTAGACAATCATGAATTCATGTAACTTGTTCAGCTATCAAAACTTTGGGGCCCAGTCCCTAGACCCATTATGTACCTTAATCTTTTTGACTACTGCCCACAGGAATGGTATAGGGTACATAAAGATATTAAACTAACTACAGTAGTCTACAACTGATGAGGACAGGAAATGATCATGGACACCCAGAACTAAAAATGCTACAGTGCAGGCATCAGCTGATGTATAAATAAAAGTCAGTGTAAAGTAAATCCAGTCAAAAATTTAATAAAATCCATGTACAGGCAAAGGTCTACAGCTGCTGTCGATGAGGCTAGGCGAAACTATTTGCACAACAACAGAAAGTTAGGTAAAGGCCACATACACAAGATGGCAAGAGATGACCCGGATAAAGATGTGTTAGGTGTGGGTTGTCTTAATACCGAAAGGACCCGCGTGCGATTCCCGGGTTACGACTCCTTGCATCTATTACCCACATTTACCTAGCAGGAAATAGGTACCTGAGTGCAAGTCGACTGCTGTGGGTCACATTCTGAAGAAAAAAACTTCTACACGAAATAAACCATACTACTTGGGTTGGTTAGGCTTCCTGGGTTTTACAAACCTTCATGGTGCAGATACCCACGCTGTTCTTTTATGAATTGGTCATACAGATAAGATGAAGAAAGATACACGAGGACTACAGTGGATCTATCAATAAATACAAGAGTATACAGAGGCTACGGGCAGGAGAGGGTAGATAAAAAGGCTACAATGACTATGAACAGGTTGAGGGAACACAAGGGAATTACAGCCGGGCTGGGGAGGCTGGATACAGTACTATGGAGTACAGGCAGGAAAGGGGGCTGGACACGGTACAAGCATGCTAGGGCTAGATACAGCAAGACTACAAGGACTGAAGGCAGGCTGAGGGGGTTGATACAGTACTATAGGCAGGCTGGGGCTCGACACAGGACTACATGCAGGCCGGGGTAGATACAGCAGGACTACAAGGACTGCAGGCAGGCTTGAGCTCAATATAGGACTACATGCAAGCTGGGGCTCTATATAGGACTACATGCAGGCTGGGGATATATACAAAAGTACTCACCAGGGTATTATTGGTGTTGAACCCGGCCACCGAGGAGAGAGACGAGTCGGGCGGCGCCTACAAACGACGACGACACTAATTAGCACCAATAAATGAACATGAAGGGGAGGGGGCACCAGGGAGAAATTTTTAACTGGTGCAATTTTAGATTACAAATTACTTCCTAGTAGGGAAACAATCATAGGGGGAACAGTCATGGGGGAAGGAACAAAATGGGGTTAGGACATAAAGAGGCACTCGTGGGAAGAATGGGAGCTAGCAAGCAATTCTAGGCCAAACCACCATAGATAAGCAGGTAATTAAAAGTCACGGGGAAGCAGTATGTCAGGTGATAGCAACCATAAAACAGGTAAATAATGGATTAGTTATCCTACGGGGCGAGGCAGAACCATGTCGGCTGTAGCAAATTTATTTAGACACAGGTACACATAAGTACAATTATCATAGTGTAAATTACCTAGGATAACCCAAAAAAGTTAGCTTTAGATTTCACTTGCTAAGAATTACAGTACTCAAACTAAATTTTAATCACGGAATTTAAAACGGGTAAGAATAAGAGAAAAACGAAGCTATCAACAGACACGGAGTAAAAAAAAAATTACCTAGTTCTTGCAATCCGTTTTTTTCTCATGAAGTACTGGTAATACAAATCTTGTAAAAATAAGCCAAATGATAAAATTTAACTACCAACAAATACTAATGCTACATGACAACATGAACTCTGCACACAGGAACAAGCCTTTCTGGTAGAAGATAATTTACACCAGAATTCCGGAACGACTGGAGCCTAGGGCATGAAATAAAGATATCAGTGCCTTGCCTGAAGCTGCACAGAGAGGAACAGGAGTCCCTGGAGGGAGAATGTCTTGTGGTGTATTTCTGTAGAAATATTAATGTCAGATACCCACGTCCTGTTGAACCCTGTACTACTTGTTAGTCTGCAGGGCCTATCGGGACTGGCGCTTCTACATCACATAACCCTGCACGTGGCCCAGAAAGTGAGGCCAAAAACTGATATTTGTGATTTACAGACTACTAGAACCCTTTGGTTATAGAGGAATTCTATATTATAAACTTGCTAGCATTATTAATTTGTTGCTAAGTTACCTATAGTGCGCCACGAAGCCTGGTCACAGACCAGGCCGCGGGGGGCGTTGATCCCCGAAACCCACTCCAGGTATACCAATTTCCTGCTAACTTAATTTGACAATACCAATTTTGCTACTACTGACAAACTTATTGTTAAATTACAGGCATCAATCAAGATGCAAAAAAATACATCAATATGTTGACGTCTATATCTCCCTAATTCATTCCAAATCATAGGTTCTAAACAAATTTTGACGGAGTGAATAACTCCGATATTTAACCGCAAAAAAATCCGTTGCCGAGTTCTTAGAAATAGCACAAAAGCATGGTCAGGCTACGCCGGAAAAGAAAGTCTGGGGTATGGTAAACATTTCATTTTCCTCCAGCAAAATCGGTCAGATGTATGGCTCCGACATGACACTAATTTTTTTGTGTGTGTATGTTAGGGTTTTAAAGAGAGGTGAACATGTTTCCACTTCAAAAATTCTTTTCGCCTCTATACTATTGTGGTTTTATAATTTTTTGTTTTGTTAGAAGACGAGTCTAACCTAGCCAAACCTAAATAACGTTAAATCGAACAATTTTCTTAAGACAATCTGCAAGAAATTGACGTAGGCATGTACCCATTCATTACCTGGGACTCCGACATGCCCCAAGCGCCAACACGCCTTAATTAACGTCCTTGTACCTAGAATGGAGTGGCACCAACTACACCTAATTTTCTGGGTCACGCGATATATAGTGTCAAGGCCAGTAGCACACTGAGTGAACCAACCTACTCGGGGAAAAAAAATTGAAAAAAAAAAAGTCAGCGCTACTTGTGGGTGAAGTTGGTTAATATATGCATCACAAAACCTGCTCAATACTTAATAATTTCTCTTATATATTTAATTTTTCATTAAGGGTGTTTAGCGTTCACCTATGACGTACCTGCTTTAGATTTTTGAGGGTAGATTAGGCTAGGAAAGGTTTGTCAGGCAAACAGAATAAGTGCTTCCTAACGCCGATTTTAGTCATATGATGACCCGCCGTTGGAGCTTTTGGTCATCTGACCGATGCTTTCCGCTGGCTTACCGGTCCACCCCTTTAAAAAAAATATGATCAGATAGGGTTCCTTTGCCTTCACAGTACGGCCGGAGACTAGGCTTCCTTGTTGACTGGTCAACTAGGCTGTTTCCTACCAGCGATTCACATACTTATAACTATAACATGGCTAATCAGGCATTTGAAAGTGAACCCTTTTGTTCTAACAATATTTCGGTATCTGCTGGTAGCACGTTGAATGGCAAGGGACTATGAATATTGAGAGTAACTGTACTGACACTCCTTTTCAGAACGTAAAACATACCCCTTTAATAGTTAAGTATATTATACAGCTAACTCAAAAGAAGCTAAACAGATTGCGTTAACCAAGATAATTTATTCTAAAAAAAAATCACTAACAAGTGAATTGTTTTGCCTGTCACTTGCATCTTTCTTTACACGAACATGCAAACGTAAGAAATGACCTAATAACAAAACAGTTTCTTTTCCGTTCATAAAGGAAGCGTTGTATAATAAGAATTGTGGCAACAATATAGAAGAGGCCATACTTTTAAATTACTAAAGAATATGCATCAGGAATACCTGTACTTTTGAAATATTTCATCCAAACTGTGGATGATGGCTGAATTAGGATCCGAGGGAAGTAGTGAATTCCAATACTAATCAAAGCTTTGAAAACTATTATAAAATTCGGGACATTACGAACTTTGGTACTACAAATAAATCAATGACCTGCAGCAGGACAAAATGAATCCTACACATCACTGCAGATGTGTAACGAGAAAAATAGTAACCGGAAACGAGGGGGAGAGATACACAGGTGGCTTAAATTATTATTATTATTATTATTATTATTATTATAACCAAAAGGAAGTGCTAACAGATGGCTTAAAGAAGCGTTAAACGTGGTCAGGAAGGTGGTTACTTGAATTAATTGATACTTGTAAAGAAAATGGGAAACAAAATAAAATCAATGTTAAATATAACTTGGGAGGCGAGATACCACAGAAAACACAAGTTTTGAGAGTAAGCATTGACAGGTCATGCCACCAGAAGTATATATCATGACAGGTCATACCATCAAAAGTATATATCATGACAGGTCATACCACCAGAAGTATATATCAATCTCAACTTCCTCGGTATACGAAAAAACTACCTGATGGTATATTGTGGGAAGAAAAACTGCAAGTTTCCCAATTATATTACACCAAATATTATATTACACCAAGTAATGAATTTTGAGCCTGACCAAAGAGGCAGTAAAACGATGAGGATATTGTTAAGCATTTCACTGTAGGTTCAGTACCTACGGCAGCTTCAGTTTCACCTTTGAGTATGCAGTGCCAACGTGATGAAAAATACGTAGGATGGTGGGTGGACAACCATGAATAGATATGACGGCTCCGTGAGTACCATCCCTTTCCCCCTTTCAAAAATGTCACCTTCCATCATTATCAGGATTAATACAAGGCTTTAGGAAAAGATAGCCAGGGTTAGTTTAAGTTTAATATGCTTATTATGCACCCCATACCCATCCAGTGGGCGGTAGTCAAAAGATTACAGAGGTACATAATTGGTCCAGGGACTGGACTCCAAAGTTTTGATAGCTGAGCAAGTTACAGAGGTAATGAATTCACAATTTACAAAGGTAACAAACTCACAATTTACAAAGGTAATGAACTCCAGGTAGGTCTAGTCAATCATGACAAGTTACAAAGGTATTTACAGATTACAGAGGTACGTAATGGGTCCAGGGACTGGGCCCCAAAGTTTTGATGGCTGAACTAGGTACAAGGGTAGCTCCAGAATGTGTATGCCGGGGGCTTAGGGCGGCTATAATGCTGAGAAGACGGGGGGGGGGGGGGAGGAGGTTTGTGTGGATGCAGTGTTATTATAATTACTACTTTTATGAAGGCCGAGGGATTTTTCGGGGGATACACCTCATTGGCGCCGCCCGTAATTATTCCAAGTCAGTATGTCGAAATTTAAGAGGCGGGAGCACGAGTACGTGCTCACCATAAAAAAAAATATCAAATCGGTAATTTTCAGTCACACAAAATAGGTTGGAAGCATTTACGCAAGCAAGCACACTTATGGGCCACCCGTGATACACACAGGAAAGACTAAAGAGCACCTCGATGAAGAGCAACAAAAACTATGAGAAAGGTCAACTAGACAAAGGTGTGTATAGAGATGATGGTGGTTAGTCACTGACGGGAAGACAAGACGCTGCAAAAGGGGGGGAGAATTGCCTTTATGCTGGTGAAGGGCTCTTGGTCCAAGGAACCAGAGCTACCCACCACTTTTCTTCGAATCAAACCTCAGGGTCTATAATTCCCCTACGGGTATAGCATTTCCCTGTAATTATATTAATAGCAAGGAACTAAGCATAGACCACAATAAGCCTAGAGGAACGTCGGAAGGAGCTGGACAACTGGTAAAGGAATTGTGTCCTTTTAACCTGTACACTGGTACTGGTTACACGACTCGTCGGGACCACGTCCCCTGTAACTGTTCAAGGATAGGCTCGGGATCAGGTGCCCTAAATACCAACATGATGATAAAAAAAAAAAAAAATTACAAGACCTTGTGCTAGTTCTTCAAGGCTAACCAGCCTGGACTCCAAGTGGCTGAAGGAAGGACGTCAACAATACAACACGTAACTTGTTCGTTTAAAGAACCTTCGTGACAGATGAAGGGCACCGCTATTAAACAGGGTGTAAAATCTGGAAAAATATCACTCATCACACCCGCCATGTACCTGACTGGATATCTCGCCTGCATGAACGTATCATTAATAAGTGGACAATTAACACGTTCTGTGAATAAAAAGTCTATTATTTTCTTTTTTTTTCCATTTCCCCTTATGTTGGTAGTCATGGGTAAATGCTAAATCCGTAGGGGTTCCTACCATAGTGGCT